ATGACATAATATCCTTGGTAAAAGTAGGTCTATATGCATTCTGTGAGAGTTTATGTGAACGACTATTTAAGAAATAACAAAAGCACTCCTTTAAAAACGTTATTATCATTCCCAAATGTAAAATATTAAAATATCTCATGGGAAGACAACAAACTTTAATTCACTAATACCCATTCAGTAAAATAGCATGGAATCATATTTGTCATAACATAATATGCCATCCTAAATATGCTTCATTATACTGTATTCCCCCAAAGTGCCAGTATCCTCATCTTATAAATAAAATGCACTTACATTCTCGAATTTTAAAATTCTTGTATGTGTATTTTCAACAACTACGATTTTTATGAAAATTAAAGATTATGATGATATTAGCATTCACAAATCCACGTTTTCAATAGAGAAAGACAAATACGCCTTATTTCTAATTTAAATGAGGTATGTATATACATGATATCATCATTAAAGTAATGAGATTGGTCAAGAAGCAGTTTTGTAGTTTAAGGAACAAGTTAAATGTTATCAGCCATATAACTGGGAAACAGTACTAAGATACTGCCACTTAGCATTCAAATTTTCCTACTCCATTCATTGATAAATTTGTTAAAGGAACTAAATGTCAGCTGTGGGCAAACAGTAGATGAGAGAAGAAAATGTAATAATGCAGCCTCTGCTTTTTAGATAGTTTACTTATTTAGAAGCCAACATAATTCATAACAATAAAACAAATCATTGATTGAATTAATTGAATTAATTAAATTGAATTAATTGAAATTAATTAAAAACACATATGAAAAGAATACTAACATTTTCTGCTTTTGTTCTTTTATTCTTTGGACTACATCAGATATAAAGGAATGGAATTACCACAACTTGTATTTTCCTGTTAAAAATTATCTTCCCTGGTTGTATTCAATATCCTGGTTCAAATGATCAGTCTCCTCTCAGGCCATTTCTCTATTATATCTTAGAATGCATTTGCTCTCCATTTTTTCACTCTATCACTTTTGTAGAGCATACTACTTATACATTTAAAAAAACACCACAGAAAGTTTAAAAATAGAAAATATACCATTACTGGCTGGTATATAAAATATACCAGGAACATTTCTTTTGAGAAATGCATAGATCTGTGAATTAATGCCTGATGATATCTTCAAAGATTGGGTTACCTATCAGTTTACTTTGGGTTACTTGGTGTTTAGTAATTCTCTTCTACATATCTCTACATGAATTGGTTTAAGCAGTCTTCAAGAGGATGAAACTACTCAAAGTAGACTAGACCACAAGGAAAATGAATTTTTCACATAAATCTTCCCCTTATCAAAGCAGAACTTACTATATCTTTACTAATGAAGTCCCCATTCCAGGGGATGGGAAATAATCATAAGCAGTAGAGGAAAAATATAATCACAGATCAAAGATCTTAGCTTCTACCTCCAAATCATTTAGTGTAACAGTTATGATCCTGGCAGCCTACAGTTTTGCACATAATATAGTCAATAACATATTTAAAC